TCCATATGAGACCACTTCAGCACTGGCTTCACGATCGGGTCCCCAGACGCGCATGGCACGCGGGCACACACCGGGTCTCGGTTACTGCGCTGTGTCGCCGCGCCCTCAGCCCTTGGAACGACCCCTCGTTCCTACAGGCCGGTGTGCCTCTAGGACAGGCGTCCAGCCATGTTGTTGTTTCAACAGACACTTCCAACACGGGTTGGGGGGCCGTGTGTCGCGGGCATGCGGCTGCGGGCCTCTGGAAGGGTGCCCAGCTGCATTGGCATATCAATCGCCTAGAGCTGTTGGCAGTGTTCCTCGCTCTCCACCGCTTTTTACCGGTGCTGGAGCGGCAACACGTGCTGGTCAGGACGGACAGTACGGCGGCGGCGGCGTATATCAACCGCATGGGGGGTATGCGCTCTCGCCGCATGTCTCAGCTCGCCCGCCGTCTGCTCCTCTGGAGTCACCCGCGGCTGAAATCGCTGCGCGCCATTCACGTCCCAGGCACGCTCAATCGTGCAGCCGATGCGCTCTCACGACAGCTGTTACGCCCTGGAGAATGGAGACTCCACCCCGAGTCTGTTCAGCTGATATGGGCGCGATTCGGGGAGGCCCAGATCGATCTGTTTGCTTCCCCCGAGAACGCTCACTGCCAGTTGTTTTTTTCCCTGACCGAGGGCTCTCTCGGCACGGATGCACTGGCCCACAGCTGGCCTCGGGGCATGCGCAAGTATGCGTTTCCCCCAGTGAGCCTGCTCGCGCAGTTTCTGTGCAAGGTCAGGGAGGACGAGGAACAGGTTCTGCTAGTTGCGCCCCTTTGGCCCAACCGGACCTGGATATCAGAGCTCTCACTCCTCGCGACGGCCCTCCCCTGGCGGATCCCTTTGAGAGAGGACCTACTCTCTCAGGGACAGGGCACCATCTGGCACCCTCGCCCCGATCTTTGGAACCTCCACGTGTGGTCCCTAGACGCGAGGAAGACTTAGGTAACCTACCGACTGCGGTGGTTAATACCATCACTCAGGCTAGAGCCCCCTCCACGAGGCGCGCCTACGCCCTGAAGTGGAGTCTATTCACTGAATGGTGCGTCTCTCGCAGAGAAGACCCCCGAAATTGCCAGATTAGTGTTGTGCTCTCTTTCCTTCAAGAGAAGTTGGACAGCAGGCTGTCGCCCTCCACTCTCAAGGTTTACGTGGCCGCCATCTCCGCTTATCATAGCGCGGTAGCTGGCGGCACCGTGGGAAAGCATAACCTGGTCATCCAGTTCCTTAGGGGTGCTAGGCGAATTAATCCATCTCGCCCCCCTCTCATGCCCTCTTGGGATCTCGCCCTCGTTCTCACGAGTCTGCGATCCGATCCCTTTGAGCCACTCGAATCAGTATCTCTAAGATTTCTGTCCCTGAAGACAGCTCTGCTGGTTGCGTTGGCCTCCATCAAGAGGGTCGGGGACCTGGAGGCATTTTCGGTCAGTGACTCGTGCCTGGAATTCGGGCCGGATTACTCTCACGTTATCCTGAGACCCCGCCCCGGTTATGTGCCCAAGGTTCCTACCACCCCCTTTAGAGATCAGGTAGTGAACCTGCAAGCGCTGCCCCCGGAGGAGGCAGACCCAGCCCTTTCTTTACTTTGTCCAGTTTGCGCTCTGCGCATTATGTGGACCGTACTCAGAATTTTAGATCATCTGAGCAGCTCTTTGTCTGTTATGGCGGTCGGCAGCAGGGAAGTGCCGTATCGAAACAAAGATTATCCCACTGGATTGTGGATGCCATTTCACTCGCTTATTCGAGTCGAGGTCAGCCGTGTCCCCCGGGAGTACGTGCACACTCCACTCGGAGCGTTGCATCCTCTTGGGCGCGTGCACGCGGCGCCTCTCTAACAGACATCTGTAGAGCTGCGGGCTGGGCGACACCCAACACATTTACAATCTGCGAGTGGAGCCGGTTTCCTCAAGGGTATTAGGTAACCCTTTGGTGATTGAGGAGACAACTCGGTAGGGTGTTGAAACACGCTTGCGGCGCCATTCTCCCTAAACACGGAGGTACGTGCGCCTTTTTTATCTGTCAGTAAAGTTCCCCGTCAGGTGAGCCCTGCAGATTCCTCCGTGGCCCCCAGCACTGACTCAGCGGAGGAGTCACTTGCTGGCCCACTACGTTGTAGGTCTGCCCGCTGGTCAGCCCGCGTTTTGGGTATAGGTGCCTGCTATGCGTGATCCCCACTAGGCGATCCCATATGCTTATTCCGCCACGGTTAAGTCCCCCCCCTGGGCGGACCCGTGTCTTCCCTCTCCGCTAACCACTCTTTTGCTATGCGTACTCCCCCTTTTTAGGGCTAGTCCATAGGTAAATTCTGCCATCTATCCCCCCCTTGGGTAACGGATGGCCTCCGCAGCGTCCTCCCTATCGGGATTGCACGCTTCCCAACGTACTGTCGTATTTCCTAGAATTATCTAGATGCTCACGACTTCCCAAAAAATATATCTAAATCCGTAAAACTTCTGTTGAAGTAGGATAAATTAGGGCCAGGGACACGTTGGAGGACCGCGCCCCCCATGATGTGGGTGCGTCACGCTTGCTTGACTATCTCCTCATCGGGGGTGTTGGTAAGGTGCAGTCATTATGGCGCTTTCCATATTCTCCCATTCATGGCACTGAAGTTCCCCAACCGAAGGGGAACGTTCGAGGTTACAGAAGTAACCCTTCGTTCCCCGAGGAGGGGAACGGAAGTGCCATATTCCGTCGCCATAATGACTGTCCCTTAGCTGTTTGAAAGTCTCTTCAGCTTAAAAGGATGGCGTCTGCTGGCTTCAGGTGTGCTTATATGCTGAGATAATTGCAGATGTCGCACACCTGCGCAAGCTTACGCTGCCAATTAATTTCATTCATTGGCCCGTTCAATACTCTCCAGATAAGCGGCTTCTGATCCGAATCCTCCCATTCATGGCACTTCCGTTCCCCTCCTCGGGGAACGAAGGGTTACTTCTGTAACCTCGAACGTTCTTAATAATATTTTAAAAATAACGAGAAAGTACTGCTTTATATTAACTATTGCAGTATTTTTTATAGAAATTTATAACAAAACCAAAACAATCCCATTTAAAACAATGGAGTTTAACACCGATTACATGAGTCAAGCTGCACCTGTTTTTGCCTTGATTTAATGTCTCGCTGATGTCTTCAGCATTGTTCTCTGTCCATAGATGGACAGCATTTTTGAAAATCTGATTCATTTACAACATTTAACTTTAGTTTGCTTTTTGTAGCTCAGCAATAAAACAAACAAACAAAAAAGCTTATGTTGTATTAGAAATGACAATCTCAGTTAAAGGCATTCGCCCTACTCTCTTCTCTGATTGGACTGTAGGCCAAATAAAACATTACCATGGGCCAACACGCGGGCCCTAGTTTGGGCATCTCTGATTTAAATAGAAAGGCAGACCTATAATGCATTATTTATGGTGGTCGAGAGAGCTTAACGTGCTGCAATTTAGGAAATAACACGTGCAATTACAAAAAACACCGGTAAATTAAGAAAAGATCTCCATCTGTTTGACAGCATACGTGCTGCAAATCCTCACAACCCATACACAAATGGGTCCAAAAAATGAACTGCATTTTCCCACAATGCAAACAGATTAATAAAACGCACTGCATCTACTCACAACACAAAAAGAGCAGAAAACAATGGAAATGTTTCAAGGGGACCCAAAAACGTGACCGACGCCGCTGTGATGTGACTTGCTCAGTGAAGTTGTAGGTGATCTTTTTCATTAAATGTTTATGTTGTGAGAAAATGCAGCGTGTTTTCTTAAACGGCAGCATGTTAAGCTCTCTCAGCCACTGTACTTAAGACATTTTCAGTGCATGAAATAGTTTATAACTGTCATAAAAGTTAAAAAAGCACATTCTGCCAGACTGAACATACAGTATATCCCAAACCAATAAATGATTTTAATGCACACAGTATTTTAGTCTTTATCAAACTACAAAACCTGGACATTTGCACTAAAACTAAAAAAACCTGTATAATTGTAATGATTACATTTGACTAATATTGCCAAATTCACTCTTATTTGAGGTTATTTGTTTTAATACCCGCAATAATTTTGCGAATTTACTTAAAGAACCGCATTATACAAGTACTTTTTGCCCTATACATGTATATCTCTGTGCCTTACAGGTAATGTTTCATGTGCAACACCTCATTATATAACTTTAACTTTATATAAGTTTTGCAGGTGTGAAAAAACTTAGGAAACACTGTCATGTGTTCATTTGTATTAATGAACATTTACCATGAGTAAAAGACAAATGAAAAGATAAGGAAATCTAAATACATTTTATTTTATATAATTTTAAAACATTGTATGTAGTCGCATGCCATAAAATGTTAGTTTTAAAACTTTTTTTACTGGTACACATTCTAGATTTACGAATTTACAATACTTGTAAAACATAATAAGGTAATGTAAAACATGTTAATAATAAAAATAACAACAACAATAAACAATAATCTAATCACACGTTAAAAGTGAATTAATAAATTGTAAATACTGAAACATTAACCGAACCGCCAAAGCTCATTAATATTCATGAGATTTGTTGTTAAATGACGTAGAACAACCGTCGTTATCATCTAGCGTTTGATGTTAGCAAACGGTAAGAAAACAGTTAAACGATATAATTATGATTAATAACCATCAACACGTTGATTTTGCACACCGAATATGTTACATATTACAGTTTGTTTACAATTACTATAAATATTACTGTATGTTTACATTCCTAATCATGAACAACTGACAGTAACGTTAGATGTTAATGAAACACCGAACATTTTTAGAGAAAACAATATATTAGCCTAACCATGTTGCTTCTTGAATGACAAATAATGTACAATCATTAGCTGCTATTAAATACAATTTTAAACATAGAATAACATTAGTCTGATGTATACAATGAGTCTGAAAACGCGAAGCTTTGGGTTATCGTGTCCATAACAGATCGGTCGTTACTTACCCATAATCCGATCACCCCTTTTCCTGTCCGGTCATAACTCAGTTAAATCAAGTAAAAAGCTTATGTTTGAATGTATCGATAAGCAGCGCATTTCCGATGGTGACTTCCTTCACCTGCTCCTCTTGACAGGAGCCGCTGTTTCTCGCGCACGTGCTGGTTTAGTTTCCTCGAAGCTCCGCCTCCAGCGCGCGCTCACGAGCTCACGAGACAGCATGAAGTTTTCATTTCTCTTCCAGCATGTGGCAAGATGTCCTGATCATTTATAAACTACACGTGCGGAAGGTTCAGGTAAGGCAACAATAAAAGCACATTCAGCAGGCTGCCATGCGTTAAACTAGTGTCAGCAAAGATTAACCACCGTCAGTAGATTAACTGTCTTTACTGGTGTAAAATGAACGCCCCCTAGCGGCAAGTTCAGTTGATGCTTAAAGATAATAAACAACTAGGCCCATTTACATTTGTTTAAAAAAGTAATACCCCTTTTGGAAAAGGAGGCCAGGAGTGGTTTATGATTTCAACTTTCAAAATAAATGTCTAAAAATATGGTTGTTGATTTAGGAAAATCTAGAAAAATAATAATTTACCTGTCAATATTTAATGTCATATTCTAATCAAGACATACATCTTTAAAAGAAAAACAAAAACGAATACTTAGGTAAAATCTAATTTGAATAAATAAAAAATAAATATTACTTTAAGTTTATCAGACAAACTAATTTAATTAAACCATTTTATTTGCTAATTTTCACTTTTAGATAAAAAAATAAATGTGTTTCATGCTGTAGTCATTCATCAATAGGCGTATATATGTTTATTATCACAAGTCCAAAAGTGGATGTGAAATGGGGAAAAGGCAGGGGATGCTCTAGCAGGCACACACTCACATAGATAGACACTCTCATAGATTTTTTAATGGACACTATTAATACTTTCTAATTAGCATTCGATAGATAGATAGATAGATAGATAGATAGATAGATAGATAGATAGATAGATAGATAGATAGGTAGGTAGGTAGATAGATAGATAGATAGATAGATAGATAGATAGATAGATAGATAGATAGGTAGGTAGGTAGGTAGGTAGGTAGGTAGGTAGGTAGGTAGGTAGGTAGGTAGGTAGGTAGGTAGGTAGGTAGGTAGATAGATAGATAGATAGATAGATAGATAGATAGATAGATAGATAGATAGATAGATAGATAGATAGATAGATAGATAGATAGATAGAGTTGAAGTCAGAATTATTAGCCCCGCTGTTTATTTTTTTCTCTCTAATTTCTGTTTAAAGGAAATAAAACATTTTCAACACATTTCTAAACTTAATAGTTTTAATAATTCATTTCTAATAACTTATTTATTTTATCGTTGCCATTTTGACAGTAGTGGCGCAGTAGGTAGTGCTGTTGTCTCACAGCAAGAAGATCGCTGGTTCGATTCTCGGCTCAGTTGGCGTTTCTGTGTGGAGTTTGCATGTTCTCCCTGCGTTTGCGTGGGTTTCCTTCTGGTGCTCCGTATTCCCTCACATTCTAAAGACATGCGGTACAGGTGAATTGGGTAAGCTAAATTGTCCGTAGTCAGTGTGTGTGAATGAGTGTTTGTGGATGTTTCCCAGAGATAGGTTGCGGCTGGAAGGGCATCCACTGCGTAAAAACGTGCCAGATAAGTTGGTGGTTTATTCCACTGTGGCGACCCCAGATTAATAAAGGGACTAAGCCGACAAGAAAATGAATGAATTATGACAGTAAATAATCTTTGACTAGATATTTTTCAAGTTTCAAGACACTTCTATACAGCTCAAAGTGACATTTAAAGGCTTAACTAGGTTAATTAGGTTAACTAGGCAGGTTAGGGTAATTAGGCAAGTTATTGTATAACGATGGTTTGTTCTGTGACTATCGTGAAAAAATATAGCTTAAAGGGGCTATTAATTTTTTCCTTAAAATGGCTTAAAAAATTAAAACTGCTTTTATTCCAGCCAAAATAAAACAAATAAGACTTTCTCCAGAAGAAAAAATATTATCAGGCATACTGTGAAAATTTCCTTGCTCTGTTAAACATAATTTGGGAAATATTTAAAAAAGAAAACAAGCATAACAATTCTGACTTCTACTTGTTATATTTCTTAAAGGGAAAGTTCACCCAAAAATAAACATTTATTCATTATTTACTCTCCCTCAAATTGTTTCAAACCTTTTTTGAATTTCTTCCTTCTGTTGAACAAAAAAAGACATTTTGAAGAATGTTACAAACCTGTAACCATTGACATAGAAAAAAACAAAAATCATGTAAGTTATTGGCTGTTCCTACAATTTTTACAATGTCTTCTTTTGTGTTTAACAAAAGAAAGAAATTAAGCTTTGTGAGCTTTGTGACAAGTGAAGGTTGAGTAAATGAAAAGCGAATAGTCAGTTTTGGGTGAACTATCTGTTTAAAAGCAACTGTAAGAACGATACATTTATAAAACTGACATTGAACTAAATACATTATTTGTATTTCGAGTGCTTTTCTAGTACTTGGTTGCGGCATAAAGGGCATAAAGCATATTAGTTGGCGGTTCATTCCACTGTGGCGACCCCTGATAAATCAGGGACAAACCGGAGAAAAATGAATGAATGGATATTTTGAGGACCTTAAAACACTTGAAGCTTAGTTCCCTCACCAAAATCTATTCAGTTTTTTTTTGGAAGTCTTGTACATCACTTCCAGGTCAAATCAGTTTTAAATGCATTATGAAGGTTATAAATAATACTGCACGTTGATGTGGATGCTAACATTACCTTTATTCCTGTCTTAGTGTGAATTAAAAGTTCCTCATGAATAAATATATGTACATATATGGGCAGACAGGTAGTGTAGTTTATGTGTGTGTGGCAGGTTTTGTCTATAGGACCGGATACAGGTGGCAGCTGCTCCATTGTTTCTGCTTCAGCACCACCCGTAGAGAAACTGAGACACTTTAGGCCGAGTCGAGGGGTCGCAGTAGTGAGCTAATCGCAGGAAGGAAGGGCTAAAAGGTCAATTCTTTGTTCTTATGGCCTCCAAGAATCAAACAAGCGTTGAAATATTTATTTAAGTTCCTTGATTGACTACATTCAGATTTTTAAAAAAATAAGGGACTGTTATGTGATTATGAAGAAAAGGATGAGACACAGAGACACACACACGGAATGAGAAATTAATTTAACTTTAATTTATATAAAATAGGTCTTTGTCCAGCAAAAGAGCACACAATATTGTTGAAATCATCATCATCATCACTCTTTACATGTATATTCGTTTGAGTGTGAGTCCTCAACCTGCTTAGACTCTTGCAAACTATTATACACCATAAACATCATGAAATGGTCTATTAAATATTAGTGAGGCTAATCCTCTGCACACTTTCTTCTTATTACTTAAACAAAAAGAGGCTCCAGGCCTTTAAAATTAGTACATTAACATACTGAATAACTGGTAAATATGAGGTTATATTATTATAGTTTGTCATTCTGGCTGGTCTGCTATGCAACAAAAACAAAAGGAAACAAAACAACCACATAAAAAAAAAACATCCTCCTCTTTTTCAAACATGCTTACTTCCTACATTACACTTCCCTTTTCATCTATCTTCACTTTATAACCTTTCACAAGATGTCCTTTTTTACCTTTCGCATCTCCATCTTAAACTCCTACTAAACTACACTCCCACAGGCCATCTTTAAAACATAACAACAACAATGAAAAATGTATATATTCTTTCTCTCTTCATGAAATATTTTCATTTCACCTGTCTTAAGCCCTATTTGGATAATTGTTTCTCACAGAGACGTCTGTTTAAAGGCACAGTGTGTAATTTTTGCCACATATAAAATTATTTTGGCGAAAATAAGCAATATACACAGTATAAAACAGGGGTAGGGAACCTATGGCTCGGGAGCCACATGTGGCTCTTTGACCAGAAATATGTGGCGCATCAGCTGTCTCCCTTTAGTAAAAAATTTAAACTGCCAATAAAAATCTGTTTCCTAATAAAAATACAATTAAAATGACCTTTTTATTGTATATTTTTTACAGCAAAATGAATAAAAATAATTTCAACCAATGCACGTGTGTGGCGCTGTGGATTAACTTGAATTGCGACACCAATAAACGGCATGCAACTTACATTTCTATGGTAAACTTGCACCATAAAACTTAAACAACAATCATGAGTGGTGAAAAGTCAGCAGAATAAAATGTAAATAATAAGTAAATAAAAAATAAAAGAGTTGTCTTGATTTTTTTTTTTATCTTTCCAATTGCTAAATTAATTTAAGAATTTGAAGAAATAAATGTAAACAACCTTTTATTTTCACAAGGCAAACATCTGACCTGAATGTTTGGTGGGCTAGTTGTGCAAATTAATGTAAAATTATTATATTTTTGTCCCTTGAGAAACAGTTACCATCCTAGTACGGCTATACATTTTTACATTTATTGACATTTTGATATTTCCCCTGCCACAGAAAAAGTGGCCAATATGATAAAAAAATACTTGCAACAGCATAAAATAGGGTTAAATAGCATGAGGTATGCAAAGCAAAATAAATAATCTAAAATAATAAGTAATAGTCAGCACATCTAGTGCAGGAGTGCTGCATTCTTGGATGACTACATTCATTGGTATATTTATAGATAACCTTCTCCTCGAATGCAGCACTCCACCTCTTTAAAATCTTTATAATACTCTTTTATAGATCCTCCTGAATGTGTTGAGATTCACCTGTCTGCAGAATGAGCATTTATCTATATGGTGCCTGAGATTTTCCCCCTGTGTCTTTTAGCAGGCTTGAAGCAGAGCGGGTGCAGGTTGGTACGGATCTGCCAGAACCTTGTAGCGGATCTTGGTGTTGGTGATGGCGCCGTGTTTCTGTCTCAGGTGAAGCCTCAGCTGGCTCTTATGACGGAAGTGCAGGTGACATTTCTCACACTGGAAGAAAAGATTAGCAAAGAGTGAGATTTCAGCTCGTAGCTTTGCTCTACTTTAAATGCAAGCAAAGTGTCTATTGGAATGTTTACAACTATGTTTGTGAAAATAGAATGTTAAATTATGGGAATATTCTAGCATTGTTTAGTGTAAAAGTTTTACCCTTTAAAATACAGGTTTATTAGTCAATGTTAGTTAGTGTATTTAATAACACTAATAATAAACAA